AAGAGAGATGCTAAAAATAATGGAAAATTATATAACTGGTAATTTTAATGTAACAAAATTAATTTTAATTGAATTATATATAATGAAAACCATAGAAATAGCGGTTTAATTTTCGATAACATTATTCGATATATATCGCAAATATGATATACAGGAAGGCTTCTAATTAAATAAATAAAAAAACTGTATGAATATCTTTGAATTTTGGGTGTAGACAAGGTTAAGATACTGGTTAAGGAGTATAAAATGCAGTGTGCGAGACCAAAATGTATCAGTTGATTTATCAGCATCACTTAAAACTAACTAAATAACTATGAACTCCTTGGTAAGTAATTTTTAACCTTTGGCTAATATTAACCTCCCAAAAATTATTTATTTTTGAGTATTTAACTCTTTACTGTTTTAACATATATTTACATAATTTTTACCTTATTAAATTTTGCCAAAATCATATGAAAATATATTTTAAATATACAGAGGTTTACAAGTTTACATTTAAATTAAAAACAAAATATCTCCGGATAATATTGATCTTAAATTTTTTTTAGTTATTAAAAGTTTACTTTCTTTATTTCCCATTGTAGTTTAGTAGTATTCAAACCTTATCTCTAAGCCATAATCACAGCTATTCTAAAAGAAGAATAATTATTTACTTGTTGAATGAATAACTGGATGCACATACACATACACACATATATTAAAGATGAAAAGATATTAACACAAAAAAATTAGGGTTTTATTTTATATTAGCAACTTATATTTTATTATGTTATTGTGTTAAATAGTGATGTATTTTTCTTTTGCTTTTTTCTCATAAAAAAATATTTCTATATAACTAGAGAGAATAAAAAACTATAAACAAAAAACGAAAAATACTGATACCAAAAATAAAAATAATATTAAAATAACATATTTTTAGCACCGCAAACCAGTACAGATAAACTTATCTGTTAATATTGTTTACCCTTTTTCTGTCTCATGTTTTCTAATGTTCTAAAAATAATTTATGGTTCATGTAACAAGTAATTTTCACCTTCTATTTAAACGATCTTTCTAAGATTCTTTTTTCTTCCTTTATTTTTATATCTATATACAAATTTTCTTTTTCTTGAATTTTTTCCAGTTTTTACTTTTCTTCTGCTTAAATATTAAAATATTTTTAATTTTTTGAGTACTTTCTCCTCATATGTCCATTTTACTATTGGTCTAAATAATTCAAATTTTTTTAAAATCTCTTATAACTATTAAATTTCCTTTAAAATAATTAATACTTCATGAGTTATTATTATCAATGTTATATTTTGATTTGGTAATTTTTCAATTTACCTCTTCCTTTTATATGTATATAAAAAATAAAATACATTAATAAAATATTTCTTTTCTTTAACAGGTTTTTGTAGCTTTCTTTGCTTCTTTGGCTGCCACCTATGCCGCTCCATCAGCAACCATCGTACAAGGACCGAGTGCAAAAACTACTATTGTAGGATCTGATGGCAGTGTCATTTCCTCAGTTGCCCCAGGTGGTCAAATCATAGCTGAAGAACATCAAGGTGTGATTGCTCACACTGCTCCAGTACATGTTGCCCCAGCTGTAGTCTCCACCTACGCTCATGCCGCACCAGCTGTAGTTTCTGCTTACTCTCAATACTCTCATTCCCCAGCTCTTGTATCCAGTTACTCTCATGCTCCAGTTGCCTATCATGCTGCACCTGTAGTTGCCCACGCTGCTCCTTCTGCAGCATATGCTGCATATTCTGCTCCAGTGGTTGCTTATTCTGCTCACAGTGCCTTTGATACTGTTGTTGCTGGACCATCCGGTACCATTGCTACCAGCAAGACAGTTGCTGCTCCAGCTGTAGTTGCTGCCCATGGAGTTCATAGTTACGCGGCTCATGGTTATGGTCATGGACTTTATTATTAAGTTTGTAAAAATATTTAGGATGACTGAATAAAAAAACTGAAAACCATTTATTTTGTTGTTTTATTATTTGAAATATGTATACTGACATAACAGTAGTTAACAGTTATGATTTTGAGTGCAGAAATGTAGAAGACATTATTCGGAGGAACAGTGCCACAAGTGAAGAGAATAATCAAATCAATAATTAGGCCCATCATAACAGCGACAAAAACATGTTCAGGCATATTCAAAACCCTGCAAATAATGAGTTCAGATCAATAATTAAGATGGCAAAACACAGTAAGAAACGGATATAGCAAAATGGGCTACACGTTATAGATGGTAGGTTGGTCAAAAAGAAGTCACTGAGATAAACGTTTAAAGAGAATGAATAACAACAGTATTTTTTGGTTTAATACAACCCAAGTTGCTGGTGGCTGGTTTTATATATGACTCAATATTGACGACTAATATGTTTAAAAACGAAAGTATTCACAAAAGTAATAGTATACTTTTGGTTTACAATTACTTTTGTAATAATAACCTAACTTTATTATTAAACAGGTGGTGCCACGAGATAAGCTCTGCTAGAATAAATGCTAATGTTTATGCACCTAAGGCTCAGTTAAGGACACAAGCTTCATGCAAGACTTGTAACAAACAGACGAAGCAACTGGACACAGGTAGATGCTCCCAAGTAACATACGGATTAATCTTACTTGATATACTTAATGAAATTATACTCATCGTGGAGCTAACCACGATGTAGATGAATCTGCTCCCAGTCTGTGAGTAAAACAACAGTAAACGTAAAAATTGCTATGTAATGCAAAATATAGAAATTATCGTAAGTAGTTTTACTCAAGTAAGGAAGACTAGGTATCCGGTGGCATGTCTCAAACCTAACTACCAAGGGGTTCATAAGCATTAAAGTTGACTTTGTAACTTCAAATATTAACCATTAATTCGAGTTTTATTCTTTCGTTAAATCGTATTTATTTAGTCTGGAAGTAAATTATTTATTTTTTATGATTATAGGTTTGGTCTTTTGAGGTTTTTTGGGGATTTTTTCAAAACTAAATCAAATGAGCGTTACGGCACACAAGCCATGTTCTCAGAACTTCAAACGTTGACTCATAATGGGGTAATTTATAAAGAGTTACTTATTGTATTATGGCGAAATACAAATATTGTTCACTGAAAACAAGAGCTAAGCGAAATAAGTAACTCCCTGAAAATGGTTTTAGAGAACTTGATCAATTGAATAAAGAGTATGTTTATATTTTATTACGTTATTCTTATATAGATGTTCTAAGAATCTGATGAAGAAAAGGCATTACCCTGGAAGTTAAATTCTTTTCTGCCATAAGATTTTACTCCATAAGATCATTTTCTTTCCTTTGTTAAAAAGTCCGACTAATTTTAAAATTAACGATTTCATATCGAATCAACTACACTATCTAGTAATCTCGAGTTCAATAATCGACTTTATTATCCAATTTGTTTAAATGGAATTGTTAATATCGAGTTTGACAGTAATTTCGAGTCGAATCCTATATTCTCTTTTATTTTAGGGTTCTAAGCTGTAGACTTATCATAGATAAACTAATATTATGAGTAAAATAGTAGCTAATAGTAAGTCTAAGTAAGTTGTATTGACATTACAAATCCTTATGACATCCTGGAATAGCAAGAATGAATTCACCTTAAAAATATTTTATTTGATTCAGAAGACGTAAATAAAAGATTCCTTTTGTACCCAGCCTGTGACAAAGTGCCTCTCAAAAGAAGTCTTCCTGTAGACCCATGAGTCGTCACTGATTTAGACTTAAACACGAAATTTTAAAATAAAAAAAAATTCATCGAGGAATTTCTACGTATGCCCCTTTAAAAATAATAAAATACATATTCATTTTGTGGCTCATAAAATTAAAAGCAAAAGCTCGAAATTCTCACATTTCGATTGTAATAGTAATCAGTACCAATAGCTCTTTTCAAACTATGTGTATTTAGGAATATAATATTACTATTTTTGATTATCAAACATTTAAATGAAAGCTTTTAACCTGATGTAAATTATCTGGCGCAGTTATACTGCTGATTCCAAAACTGATAGCAATGCAAAAATACTTTGCATTGCGATTGAAACCGAATTACATCCGAAGGGTGCGTTGATGAAATCAGAATCGCCGGAGAAGGGAGTCTAATATTCCAGTTTTATGATATTTCTGTAGATAAGACTCTTTTCGTATTTTAATCATTACATGTTTATTTCAACTCCAATTTTAAAATTTATATTTTTATTAGGTTAAGAAAAGATGGATCTACATCTATTTTATATCGGCTTATTTGAAAAATAATACATTTTTAATATAATTTATGAGGTAAAGTTAGGTTATTTTTAACAATTTTATTGAAATTTAGGATTTTGTTTCTGACTGAACCCTTTATATTTTTACTAAAAACTTCTATAGGATAATAGTTTAATTCTTTATTTTTTGGTAAAAAAAAAAATAAAATATATTAATTATTGTGCTGCCTAGGATCAAAAACAAATACTTGAATTTCACACATTTGAATAGCATTTGTGAGCACTGCATTAGCCCTTAAATATCCAGCTAAATTATTTTTTATAATAAATATACATATTTACTTTTTAATGTTTTCACTGTGAAATTAATATAATTTACATTTTCATTAACCATACCTACATGTTTTATAAATTAACATAATATTCCCATTTTATACATAACAAGAGAGATGTGTTCCAAAAATATTGAAAAATTATATAACTAGTAATTTTAATGTAATGAAATTAATTTTAATTAAATTATATAATTACATAAAACCCTTAGATTTAATTTTTGAATGTATAATTTAATATACTCGTATATTACAAATATTATTTGATATACAGGAAGGCTTTTAAATATGTAATAAAAAACTGTGCAGCAACCTTATGAGACCAACAATGAATTTTATTTTTGAATTTTGGGTGTAGACAAGGTTATGATACTGGTTAAGGAGTATAAAATGCAGTGTGCGTGACCAAAGTGTATCAGTTGATTTATCAGCATCACATAAAACTATCTAATCAAACATGAACTCCTTGGTAAGTAATTTTTAACCCTTTATCAATAGTTATCTTTCCAAAATTAATTATTACTCTTTAACTCTTTGCAACTCTAACATAATTAAATTATCCTGAATTAAATTTTGTCTAATTTAATTTATTTTGGATTATTGGGTGGATTTATTAGATCACGGTTATGTACTTTAGCTTTTGGTTAAGTTACTAGCTGTCGGTCAATTAAGTTTAAATTAATTATTAGTATTCCAATAAATCTTATTTCTAAGCCATAGTTACAGCTATTCTAACAGAAGAATAATTATTTACCTGTTATATAAATAACTGGATGTTATATTACTGACACAAAAAGTAAGGTTGTATTTATATTTTATTATTTTATTGTGTTCAATAGTGATATATTGATAAAACCAATTAGATAAGAATGTGCAAAAATCAGCTGAATTTTTTTGTCTATTTCTTATGAAAAAATATATCTATATAACTAGAGAGAAGAAAAAATTAACACTACTGATACAGAAAATACTACAAACTAAAAACTAAATACACACTAAATAACCCGAAATTCAAAAGTAAAAATAATATTAAAACAACGTATTTTTAGCACCGCAAACCAGTACAGATAAACAAAACTTAACTATTATTTGAATAAGGAAAATTTCCTGACCGTATCAGAATTTTATATGAACAAGAATTTCCTAGGATTTTTCGGTCATGTTTTTATTTTAGCACAGCACTTCATATGTTTTGGAAACATTTTTTCCATCTTCGGATGCAGTCAAAATTCAATAAAACTTTGGGACGATTACACAGTATAAAAAAAATTGAAAACTGTTATTTATTTTTTTTTATTAAATTTTGACTGCACCCGAAGGTGGAAAAACTGTTTCCAAAACATATGTAATATAAAAACATGACCCAATAAACCTAGGAAATTATTATTATTGTTTACTGTTCTCCTGTCTCATGCTTTCTTATGTTCTAAAAATCATTTATGATTCATGTAATAAGTAATTTTCACCTTCTCTTTAAACGCTTTTTCCAGGATAATTTTTTTTCCTTTACTTTTAAATCTATATACAAATTTTATTTTTCTTGAATTTTTTCCAGTTTATAACTTTTCTTCTGCTTAAATATTGGAATATTTTTAAATTTTTGATTACTTTCACCTCATATGTCCATTTTTCTATTGATTTACATAATTCAAAATCTTTTTAAAATCTCTTATAACTATTTCATCACGACATAATATGGCCACTTTAAAATATTTGATACCTTTTGAGTTAATAATATTACATTTTGATTTGGTAATTACTGTGTTTACATCTTCCTTTTCCTTATCTATAAAAATAAAATACATTTATAAAATATTTCTTATTTTAACAGGTTTTTGTAGCTTTCTTTGCTTCTTTGGCTGCCACCTATGCCGCTCCATCAGCAACCATCGTACAAGGACCGAGTGCAAAAGCTACTGTTGTAGGATCTGATGGCAGTGTCATCTCTTCAGTTGCCCCAGGTAGTCAAATCATAGCTGAAGAACACCCAGGTGTCATTGCTCACACTGCTCCAGTACATGTTGCCCCAGCTGTAGTCTCCACCTACGCTCATGGCGCACCAGCTGTAGTTTCTGCTTACTCTCAATACTCTCATTCTCCAGCTGTTGTATCCAGTTACTCTCATGCTCCAGTTGCCTATCATGCTGCACCTGTAGTTGCCCACGCTGCTCCTTCTGTAGCATATGCTGCATATTCTGCTCCAGTTTTAGCTCATTCTGCTCACAGTGCCTTTGACACTGTTGTTGCTGGACCATCCGGTACCATTGCTACCAGCAAGACAGTTGCTGCTCCAGCTGTAGTTGCTGCCCATGGAGTTCATAGTTACGCGGCTCATGGTTATGGTCATGGACTTTAATATTAAGTTCGTGAAAATGTTTGGGATGATTGAATAAAAAAAAAATTAAAAATTTTTACTTTGTTGTTTTATTGTTCAAAATATGTATACTGACTTAACAGTTGTTAACAGTTATGACCTTTGTACCTGCAGCGCAGATATATAAATGAAAGACATTATTCGTAGGAACAGAACCACAAGTAAAGTTAGAATAATCAAATCAATAATTAGACCCATCATAACAGCGACAAAAACATGTACAGGCATATTCAAAACCCTGCAAATAAACAAATAATGAGTTCAGATCAATAACTAAAATGGCATAGTAAGAAACGGATATAGCAAAACAGGCTACACGTTATAGGTGGTAGGTTGGTCAAAAAGAAATCTCTGAGATAAACGTTTAAAAAGAATGAATAACAACAGTATTTGTTGGTTTAATACAACCCAAGTCGCTGGAGACCGATTTTCTATTTGACTTAATATTGACGACTAATATGTTTAAAAAAGAAAGTACTCACAAAAATAATAGTTACAGGGCCAAGAGTATACTTTTGGTTTACAAGTACTTATGTAATAATAACCTAACTTTATTATTAAACAGGTGGTGGCACGAGATAAGCTCTGCTAGAATAAATGCTAATGTTTATGCACTTAAAGCTCAGCTAAGGACACAAGATTTATACAAGACTTGTAGCGAACAGACGAAGCAACTGGGTGCAGGTAGATGCTCTCAGAAGTAAAATACGGATTAATCTTACTTGATATATTTAATGAAATCATATTTCTTGTGGAGCCAACCAGAATGTAGATGAATTTGTTCCCAGTCTGTGAGTAAGACCACAGTCAAAGCAAAAACTGCTATGTAATGCAAAATATAGAAATTATCGTAAATGGTGTTTCCCAAGTAAGGAAGACCAAGTATCCGGGGGCATGTCTCGAACTTAACTATCAAGGGGTTGATAAGCATTAAAGCTGACTTTGTAACTTCAAAGAAGAAACAAAAAATCGTATTTAAAAATGAAATATTAACCATTAGTTCGAGTTTAATTCTTTCGTTAAATCGTATTTATTTAGTCTGGATGTAAATTATTTATTTTTTATGATTATAGGTGTGGTCTTTTGGTTTTTTTTTTACCTCTAAATCAAATGAGCGTTACGGCAAATAAAAATAATAGTTGGCCCTCCCCACACAATACATGTTCTCAGAACTTCAGACGTTGACTCATAATGGGGTAATTTATAAGGAGATACTTATTGTATTATGGCAAAATAAAAAAAAAATGTTCACTGAAAACAGAAGATAAGCGAAAGAAGTAACTCCCTGAAAATCGCTTTAGAGAACTTGATCAACTGAATAAAGAGTGTGTTTATAATTTGTTACGTTATTATTACATAGATGTTCTAAGAATCTAATAAAAAAAGGCATCACCTTGGAAGTAAAATTCTTTTCTGCCATAAGATTTTATGCTATAGGATCATTTTCTTTCCTTTGTCAAAAAGTCCAACTAACTTTGAATTTAACGATTTCACATCTTGTATTGCTACTACTTAGCTGCGTTCCAGTGGACTTCGGAGACTCAGGATTTCCTCAAAAGTGCATTCACTGCTTCTTAGCCTAGTGATGTCAGCCTCTATTGGATGTACGTAACCTGTACCTACTCAGGAATATTCGTGAGGGTTTCTTCGAGCCCAAAGATGAATTAAGAGGGTGAATAACGATTGGAAAACAAGACAATCTGATGCGATACGATAAGGTAAGTTATTAGACGATAACTTAAGAAAAGGAAAGAGACCTAAAATAATATTTCACATTTTAACAACCAGAGTAAATTTTAAATAGAATATTTTGAACAAGTTATTTCTAAAAGACTCACCTTGGCGTGGCGTGAGGCCTACAAGTGGTTTCGATAAAGTCGAAGTTTTTAAATTCTAAATCTAAGAATAATTATGAAAATTATATCCACAGTGATGTGATATTTACTAGTTTTCGTAAATATTGAAATATTCACTAAATTTATTCTAGATTTATGTAAAAATCCGCAATAATGCGAGCACGTTCTTCACGAACCAAAATGTGCGTTCTAAAAGAGAGCTTTTCAAAAAAAGTTCCTTTTCTTTTGTTATTGACCTTAGCCGGGTCTTATTAGTCTAGAGGTAAGACTATAGAAAAGATCTGGCTGTAGGTTTACCTGAGAAGTTTTAGTTTGCTAATTGACAATTTTGATGCATGAGAAGAAAAGGAGAATCATTGAACTTTAAACCTTTGAAATTCTAAAGGTTATGTTATTGTTATTAATTTATTCAGGGTTTAATATTTATTTTTATTTTTCAGGAAAGTCACTATAGGAAGATAGAAAAGATCCTATTAGTGAACTAAGAAGAATTATGATGGGAGTAGAACATTTGAAATAAATTGTTATACATTGTACTAGAAGAATATCCCGAATAAAGTTAATAGTTTTACTTTGCCTTCATTTATTTTGTGTCAGCTTATTGGAAAACAGGTAAATTTACTATTTGTTTTAAATTATGCCCAGAAAAGATATTAAAATTTAAATTAATTAAATATATTAATTATTGTGCTGCCTAGAATCAAAAACAAATACTCGAATTTCACACATTTGAATAGCATTTGTGAGCACTGCATTAGCCCTTAAATATCCAGCTAAATTATTTTTTATAATAAATATACATATTTACTTTTTAATGTTTTCATTGTGAAATTTGTCACATTTTATAACTCCTTAATATAATTTACATTTTCATTAACCATACCTACATGTTTTATAAATTAACATAATATTCCCATTTTATACATAACAAGAGAGACGTGTTCCAAAAATATTGGAAAATTATATTAATGTAATTAAATTAATTTTAATTAAATTATATAATTACATAAAACCCTTTTTGAATATATAATTTAATATACTCGTATATTACAAATAATATTTGATATACAGGAAGGCTTTTAAATATGTAATAAAAAACTGTGCAGCAACCTTAAGAGTCCAACAATGAATTTTATCTTTGAATTTTGGGTGTAGACAAGGTTATGATACTGGTTAAGGAGTATAAAATGCAGTGTGCGTGACCGAAGTGTATCAGTTGATTTATCAGCATCACTTAAAACTAACTAATCAAACATGAACTCCTTGGTAAGTAATTTTTAACCCTCTGTCAATAGTTATCTTTTCAAAAATAATTATTATCCTTTAACTTTTTGCAATTCTAACATAATTAAATTATTATGCATTAAATTTTGTGTATTTTAATTTATTTTGAATTACAATTTGTTTTTAATATACAGAGGTTTACAAGTTTACATTTAAGTTAAGAAAAATATCTTCGGATATTATTGATCTTGGGAATTTAAATTTTTCTAGTTATTAAAAGTTTACTATCTCTATTTCCCATTGTAGTATAATATTGTCCTTAGGGTGGATTTATTAGATCACGATTATCTACTTTAGCTTTTGGTTAAGTTACTAGCTGTCGGTCAAATTAAGTTTAAATTAATTATTAGTATTCCAATAAACCTTATTTCTAAGCCATAGTTACAGCTATTCTAACAGAAGAATAATTATTTGCCTGTTATATAAATAACTGGATGTTATATTACTGACACAAAAAGTAAGGTTGTATTTATATTTTATTACTTTATTGTGTTAAATAGTGATATATTAATAAAACAAATTAGATAAGAATATGCAGAAATCAGCTGGAATTCTTTTGTCTATTTCTCATAAAAAAATATATCTATATAACTAGAGAGAAGAAAAAATTAACACACAAAAACAAACACTACTGATACAGAAAATACTAGAAACTAAAAACTAAATACACACTCTAAACAACCAGAAATTCAAAAGTAAAAATAATATTAAAACAACGTATTTTTAGCACCGCAAACCAGTACAGATAAAACTTAACTATTATTATTGTTTAGCCTTCTTCTGACTCATGTTTTTTTATGTTTTTAAAATAATTTATGGTTCATGTAATAACTAATTTTCACCTTCTCTTTAAACGCTCTTTCCAGGAAACTTTTTCTTCCTTTATTTTTATATCTATATACAAATTTTCTTATTCTTAAAATTTTCCTAGTTTTTTACTTTTCTTCTGCTAAATATTAGAATATTTTTAATTTTTTGATTACTTTTCCCTCATATGTCCATTTTACTATTGATCTAAATAATTCAAAATCTTTTTGAAATCTCTTATATTTTTCTTCCTGGCAGGATATTATGGCCCTTTTAAATTATTTAATACTTTTTGAGTTAATACGATCAATGTTACATTTTGATGATTTGGTCATTACTATGTTTACATCTTCATTTTCCTTATCTATGAAAAATAAAATACATTTATAAAATATTTCTTTTTTTTTATAACAGGTTTTTGTAGCTGTATTTGCTTCTTTGGCTGCCACCTATGCCGCTCCATCAGCAACCATCGTACAAGGACCGAGTGCAAAAGCTACTGTTGTAGGATCTGATGGCAGTGTCATCTCTTCAGTTGCCCCAGGTGGTCAAATTATAGCTGAAGAACACCCAGGTGTCATTGCTCACACTGCTCCAGTACATATTGCCCCAGCTGTAGTCTCCACCTACGCTCATACCGCGCCAGCTGTAGTTTCTGCTTACTCTCAATATTCTCATTCACCAGCTCTTGTGTCCAGTTACTCTCATGTTCCAGTTGCCTATCATGCTGCACCTGTAGTTGCCCATGCTGGTCCCTCTGTAGCATATGCTGCATATTCTGCTCCAGTAGTTGCTCATTCTGCTCACAGTGCTTTTGATACTGTTGTTGCTGGACCATCCGGTACCATTGCTACTAGCAAGACAGTTGCTGCTCCAACTGTAGTTGCTGCCCATGGAGTTCATAGTTACGCGGCTCATGGTTATGGTCATGGACTTTATTATTAAGTTTGTAAAAATGTTTAGGATAATTGTATAAAAAAACTAAAAACTATTTGTTGTTTTATTTTAAAATAAAGTTCTTGCTTTTGAGGTTATTGTTCAAAATATGTATACTGACTTAAGAGTAGTTGCTTAGTTAAAGTGATAATAAACTTTTTACCTGTGTACAATGAAAAATGAAAGCAAACATTATTTGAAGGAATAGTAAAGTTAGAATATACAAAGTAAATAAATTTAATATTTAGGCCCATCATAACAGCGATAAAAACAAGAACAGGCACATTTAAATCACCACAAATAATAAGTACAAACCAACAACTAAGATGACAAAATTCATAGTAAGAAACTAATGAAGCAAAATAGGCTGCAGGTTGTAGGTAGATTACTAAAAAAGAAGTCACTGAGATAAACGTATAAAAAGAATATAAAACTAAATAATCCAGTAGGGAAATTAAATCAGGAAGAATTTTGAAAGCAAATATTGGCCATTAACCTACGTATTACTTTTGAGCAAACCTTTCCAAATTTTACTTAGAAAGCATAAATAAGAAAAGGACTTCTTTTTGAAACAAGAAAACTTGATGCATTTAGAAAATATCAAATGTTATAAAACTAATTTTATAACTTTTATACTTTTTTTTGCAAATAAATTTTTTAAAAAATGTCTCGTTCAATGTATTACTCAGCTATATTTGAATAATTCTTAAATAACATTTTTAAGAAATGGGTAGGCAGGAGATTTGTATGATCGCCTTATATGAATACTCGTACTTATTTTATGAATTCATTTAAAAAGAAAATACTATATAAGAAATTTAATCAGAAAATATCGTTAATTTAAATTAGTATATAGAGAATCTTACAAAATAAACACTTAAGTGTTATTAGAAATAATCCAAATTAGTGGGTACAAGGCAGAAACAAAGCTCTGTTGCCGGTTTTGTTTCTATTATTAATTCCATCTTTCTTTAAAATATATCACATACATATTGTACAAAGTTTTGATGAATCAGATGAATAATACAGTTTTTGGTGGTTTTTGCTATAGTCTACGCGAGGTATATATGATATAAAGCACGAGTTTTAAACGCTATTGATTAGTAGGTATTTCTGATTTTACAGAAAAAAATTACGGAAAATCTTCAAAATGTAAATATTTTATCGACGTCTAAATCAACAGCAAGTAATAGAACATCAGAAACTGAAATCACGCAAGAGTCAATGCAGAATAAAACAGCATTTAAGTATGATATTGCAGACTATTTTGTGAAGAATAAAATAAAACACATTGATGATTATACAGGGTGAGTCGGGAGGAGCGCACCAAACTCTAGGAGTATATTATACACGTGAAAATAATGTAAAAAAACTCATATGTTCTTATCCGATTTTCATTTGTTTTCAAGTTATGGCTCAATTAAAAATGTTCATCTAGCTTTCCACTTCTGAATTTTAACATTATTAAAGTATGCCATATGTTCAAAAGGCTCAAAGGCATTTGATAATTTTGACGTTTTGTTGAACTGTCAGTGCACAGTGAACAGTAACTGAACGTTTAATTTCGAATTTATGTGATTGTTAGTGTTGCAAAATTCCAAATACTTATTAAAATTTTGAATATGCAAATATGGTGTTTGAAGAATATCGTCAATGTTTTCCACACCGAAGACATCCTGATAAAAACATATTTATTAGAGTTTTCAACAAATTGTGCGAGACTGGTAAACTTCCCAGTGCTTTCATAACATCTTAACGCGCTACTCGACAAGGTTTTGTAGAAGTAGAAAATATTCTGCATCTAGTAGAAGAAGATGCAACTACTAGCTCACGGAGAATTGACACTTAATTGGGAATTCCACAAAAAAGAGTGATAAACACACTCCGCGAGCAAGGCTTATATCCTTATCACGTACAGAGAGTACAGCACCTACAACCACAGGATTACGCTAACCGTATGTAGTTTTGTCGGTGGATAAATAATAATCATCGTGTTGTATCGAGTATACTCTTTACGGATGAAGCTACATTTACCCGTAATGGCATTAATAATACTCGTAACTATCATGTATGGTCAGACGAAAACCCCCACGGAACAGTCGAAAGCAATTTTCAACATCGGTTTTCTGTAAACGTGTGGTGTGGTATGGTTGACAGTTATTTAATTGGCCCTTTCATTTTGGAGAATCGTCTCACAGGAGACAACTACTTTAATTTTTTACAAAATGAATTACAAGGTCTGCTAGAGGATGTTCCTGTAAATATTAGAATGCAGATGTACTATCAGCACGAAGGAGCTCCTGCACATGTCGCTCGTCAGGTCAAGCAACATTTGGACGAACGTTTTCCAGGGCGTTGGATTGGTCGTGGAAGTCCTATTAATTAGCCTGTAAGATCTTCAGACCTCATACCATTAGATTTTTGTTTATGGGGCTGGATGAAAAATAAAGTCTACAAAATAAAAGTGGACACACGGGATGCACTAATTAGACGAATTGAGAATACTGCAGCCCATATTAAAGAAGAAAGAAATGAATCAATTAGTAGAGCAACAAACGCTCTTCGTAGACGAAGCAGAAAATGTTTAGAAGTCAATGGCAGTATTTTTCAACATTTATTAAAAGAACGCCTATGATTAAGAGAATTTTTATGTGTAAATTTGTTTATTTGTTAATTAGCTATAACTTGAAAACCAATGAAAATCGGATAAGAACATGAGTTTTTTTACATTATTTTCACGTGTATAATATACTGCTTGAGTTTGGTGCGCTCCTCCCGACTCACCCTGTATAAAGTTATTGAAAAAATTATTAAAAAACAATTATGTGAGTATTTTGAATTAAACAACTTCTTCAGCAACTCCCAATATGGTTTTAGATGCTCTCGCTCTACTACACAGGCTGTTCTCAATGTTGTGAATGAAGTAGTTGAGGAACTTGAGCAGGGAAATCACACAGCAGTAATGTTGTGCGATCTGTCAAAGGCTTTCGACTGCGTCTCTTATGATATTCTTCTGGAAAAGCTAAGCTTTTAAGGAGTTAGGGGAATTCCGCTTGCACTAATAAATTCATATATAAACAAGCTGTGATGAGTAATGGTGTTCTGTCTGACATTCAGGCTGTAAGGCAAGGGGTTCCACAAGGTTCTGTCCTGGGCCCCCTTTTATTCATTGTTTATGTTAACGATCTAAGCCGTTTTATGCTACCTAATAAATCAGTTTTATTTGCTGATGATACAACACTCATCTTAACAGACAAAAATAATAAAAATTTAATTTCTTCGTTTGATGAAATTGCGGACAAAGCAAACACATGGTTCTCAACAAATTAAAACTTAACAGTGAAAAAACTCAAAATATGCAGATATCTGCCAATAATCAAATTATCTCAAAATGTGAAACAAAAAACGTAAAATTACTTGGTATTACATTGGATAACAAACTCAATTCAGTTAAAGAGAAAACTTTTTGTTCTTTGTTTATTCTTCGGCAGTTGAAAAAAACTTACCAACTTAAATACTCTCAAAACTACGTATTTCTCTCTCTTTCACTCGCATGTAAGCTATGGTGTACCACTTTCGGGAAACTCTTCTCAATCTATTTAAATCTTCCGGATGCAAAAAAAAGCTATCAGAATTATTGCTAACATTGGATTTAGAGAACATTTTATTAAATTTAAAATTATGCCACTACCTTCTTTATATCTACATCATACACTTGTAAGAAATTCATAGGAAAGTCTGTTTTGCTGAAACAGTCCGATATTCATAATTACAAGACACGTAATTCACATTGTATTAGAAATACTCGTTTTAGGTTATATCTATCTGAAATAAATTCCCTAAATTATAACTTATTTAACATATTACCGCAGAACTTTAATAAAAGTTTGAGAACCACTGTCTTGGATAATGCATCATATCATTCAAGGAAAACTTGTAAGATTCCAACCAAATGTTCTACCAAAGAACACATCAAAAAAATTTTTAATTGAAGATTTATATTTTGAAGGACATTATAGGCCCAACTGATAGAAGTTTTAAATACAAAAATAATCGCTAAGCAACATATTGGAACGTATAGGACCATATAGGAACGTATAGAAATATATAGGAATATATAGGAACATATAGGAACATATAGGAACATAAAGGAACATATAAGAACATATAGGAACATATAGGAACATATAGAAACAGATAGGAACATATAATAACATAAAGGAACATATAGGAATATATAGTTTTGAACCCGATTGAACTATTATGGGCCCAATTTAAAAACAAGTAAAAATAAATAATACTTTACCAAAAAATTCCAACAGCGTTGTAAAACTTATGACAGATTTCTCAAATATTACCTCTGAGAACTGGATAAGTGCTATAAACCATGTAATAAAGGTTGAAAACGAATAAATGCGACACGTACCAGATTTAAAAAGACTTGTAATTAATGTAAGTGACGGTGAATCTGATGAGGGTGATGATAGTGATTTATATTAGTTTTACAAACATAATTTTTCTATTAATTTTTTAGAATTCATAAATAAAAAATTAAATTAGTAAATCCTTCTTTTGATTTAAAATTATATTTGTTTGTTAAGTATAACTTTTTACAGATATCAGTATCAGTAGACAAAAACAAATAATAATTTTAACTAACAAAAAATTTTACACTATATCTTAACCCGTATAATACCAATTGCTATAATTTTAAAATTGCATATTTGTTATATTTGGAATTAAAATAAATCATTTATTTTTTAACTAGGTAATTGGATTGTGGTCTCTATAAGAACAGGCTGAGTAAAATCAAATAATATTATTATCTACTGTCAGGAAGAGTTTTGAATAAATTATAATACGTTAATCCTTTTTCTAACAATGAAATTACTGAATTTTGGGTGGAGACAAGGTTAAAGTACTTGTTAAGAGGTATAAAATGCAGTCGACATTACCGTAATGTATCACTTTGATTAAATTTGACTACTCAAACAAACATGAACTCCTTG